TAATTACTCCCAAAACAGTTAATACCTACAACTCTTTGATCATTTAACCCTTAATTTCCCTGATCCACATTCTGCACATTCCTTATTTGCCGTCTCTAACTGCGCATCCTGCAAAGTCCATGACTGGATGTAATCAGCTGGTTTTCCTTAGATAGAAATCTTTGATCCTTTAATCTGACTGGTTGATCTAGAACTAGAAAGAGACCCAAGATGATCTGATGTTAATTGGAGCTATAGTGTCCCATTAGCAACGCAGTCTGCAGTAAATGTCCCCCATCATGAGGCTTCCTACTCATACAGCTGACAGAAATCTGTGTGTTCTTATGAGGACCTATGACTGGACCCCACCGGGTCTGTTCTTGGGTTAAAAGTTCAGCAAAAGCTCATCTCATGTTCAATAATGTAAAAGGAGAAGTTAACGTGATTATGACCCCCCTTCCCACCAACCTGCAGCAGGAAGCTCTGCAGGAACTCCAGCTGTGACCGGACTGCAGAACAGTCCTCGGCGAGTGTCTCCACATCCAGACCCAGAGTGTGAGCAGCAGGAGAGCAGCAGGCTGACCTACAGAGAGGAGCCAGATTAGCCTCTGATGCTGCAAATCAACATGAACTCATCATGTCAGGAAATGCTGGAACTCCAGCGTAACAGAGACGTAGGACAGGATGAGATCACAGTACCTGATTTTTTCCTCCTTGGTATCAGGATACTGACAGTGTTTGTAGCTCTGAACATCACTGTGGACAGAAGATCAAACAAAACGTTCAAAAGTTCAAAACATCCAGAAATGAGGCTTCTCTGCAGCAGCTTAGCATCCGCCTTCAAAATCGGCCTACAGCCACTGCTAAAAGTACAGCTAGGGCTGCAGAGTCCTGGATTTGCTTTTAGAACTGTGTCTGGGTTGGAAAGCAGCCTTAAAATAAGTCAGAGCTGTTGATGAACTGACATGTCTAATATGCTGCACATGCAGAGGTTTTCTCCCTTCCTGAAGGTTTCTGCTTGTCAAATGATCTGTCGGTGCCCATCAGACCAGCATTTATAAACTAATATTCATAACTCTAAAATGACCCGTAATGATGCCAAGTTCATGAAAGCTCAACACATATCAGCTTTAAACAAACGGGAAGGATCTCCAATGGGAGAGGATTCATGACGAAGGAATGCATCAGAATCGGACTTCTAGGATCTGCTGGGAATTTCCAGCTGGTTTGATTCAGCTGCAGATGAGCAGGTTTTCTCCTCACCTCTCGCTCTCATAGTCCGGAGCTCCCCAACACAGCTGCCTCCGTCTCCACTGAGCCATGCTGGACAGTCCGTCTCCATCTGCAAGGTTCACATCATCAGCATCATGAATCCCATTTTCAGCACATGCAAGCACTTGTTCTGGCATTCCAGTGGGACGTGATGGGGATCATTGCACGCACCGCTGTGCAGAGAGGAGTCCTCTGGGAAGTCTGCATCCAGCATCAGGTCATCATCAGCCAGATCACAGGAGTCTAGGTTGTTCAAAAGGTCCTGGGGACAAAAATTCATTCATTCATCAGGAAACATTTATATAAAGACAGAGCCATCTGCCCATAGTGCTGTACCAAACATTATAAAGCGCAACGAGACTGGACCTTTTTAATTTCGATGGAAGGATGTTGCAAAGGCAGAAAACTTTGCAGGTCGTCTGCAAAGCAGTGAAAAGAAATTTTATATTTTCTAAAAATTTAACCAAGGGTTAGCATATACATTGATAACAATAAGAGGCCCAGAATGGAGCCCTGTGGCACTCCGCTGCTGAGTGAGGCACGTCCAGAAGTAAAAAAAACCAAGGTGGATGGCGAAAAATCGATTTTCAAAGTAACGCAGCCCGGCTGGGCTGATGTGATCTACTTTCTATAGTTCTAGTGAGGACGCAGGCAGCGGCGTCTGGATCAG